ACACACACACAGGCACTCTCTGATGATATCATCTCAAAGTTTCAGCAGTAAACTCATCCTCAGCCTGAAGAGACTGTGTGTGTGTGTGTGTGTGTGTGTGTGTGTGTGTGTGTGTGTGTGTGTGTGTGTTTGCGTGTGTGTGTGTGCGTGCGTGCGTGTGTGTGTGTGCGTGTGTGTGCGTGTGTGTGTGTGTGTGTGTTTGCGTGTGTGTGCGTGTGTGCGTGTGTCTTCATCTTCATCTCCACCTGTCCTCAGTCCTGCTCAGTGTGTTGGTGTTGGTCCAGCTCGGCGTGTGCATCAGCAGATCACTGTGATGTTTGCTGTGTGTTCATAAAGCATCAGAAGGCCAGCAGAGAGCTTGTGTGTTGTCATGTTCATCAGCTGGGACGTGTCATCGACATCATTTCCTGTTGTTTATCAGTCATCAGTGCTGTCGTCTCATGTGTGGAAATGGTTCTTTTCGCTTCCTGTTTCTGTGAAAGCACAAGCGCAGTTTCTTTACACTCATCCATCATGAACAGCTCAGGATCTTCATCAGTTGCTGCTCTCACTCAGTGTGTGTGTCTAGTCCAGATATCCAGACATTCTGAAATCAGCATAGGACATCAAGCCAGGACTGCTCTCGGGTCAGCGGGAGCACCATGGTGCTACATGTCAGCACACTTAACCACTAGGCTGAGGCCGCTGACTATAAAATGCTGATTATAGAATGTTCAGATATTTGGAAGGAAACTCTGAGTACGAGCAGCATGTGTGCAGTGTTCACAGTAAATGACTGACCCCTGAACAGATCTTGAGCTTCTGTGTAGTAAAGTGTCCACTGCTGTGTGAAAATGGCCCAGATGTGGTGGTCCTGCAGTGTGTGTGTGCTGATTGAACTCTTCCCTCTCTCTCTGTGTGTGTGTGTGTGTGCAGTGACAGCGGTGTGTGTCAGTCTCAGGATGACAGTATCGTGGGCACTAAACAGTGTCGTCACAGTGTGGCCATAATGCCGATCCCCGGCAGCCTCTCCTCCAGCAGCCCTGACCTGCTGCAGCCCGCCGCCACCGTGCTGGACTTCAGCAACCCCTCAGGTAACGCACACACGTTATTATACACACACACGGGCGAGGCAGTGGCGCAGTAGGTAGTGCTGTCGCCTCACAGCAAAAAGGTCGCTGGTTCGAACCTCGGCTCAGTTGGCGTTTCTGTGTGGAGTTTGCATGTTCTCCCTGTGTTCGTGTGGGTTTCCTTCGGGTGCTCCGGTTTCCCCCACAGTCCAAACACATGCGGTACAGGTGAATTGGTAAATTGTCCGTAGTGTATGAGTGTGTGTGTGGATGTTTCCCAGAGATGGGTTGCGGCTGAAAGGGCATCCGCTGCATAAAAACTTGCTGGATGAGTTGGCGGTTCATTCCGCTGTGGTGACCCAGGATTAATAAAGAGACTAAGCCGATAAGAAAATGAATGAATGAATGAATGACACACACACACACACACACACACACACACACACACACACACACTGTATGTCATCCCTCTCTCTCTCTCTCTCTCTCTCTCTCTCTCTCTGCGCTCCTCCAGTGGCTGGTTTCTACTGTAAGTACACTCCTCTGCTGTACACATCGTTCACTCTTTACTGTTTCTTGTGCTCTTTATCCTCGTCTGCATGTGCTGTTGTGCTTGTGTCATGAAATGTTCCACTTTTACTGTCCTCAAGCATGTGGAAATGCTGTAAGATTGTGGATTATATCCAACAGTCATTGATTTAACTTAGATTTCATCAGTAAACAGGGGAGGAAACTATGTAGATGCAGTGACACACACATTTACAAAACATAATAATGATATAATAAATACTGCATGAACAAAAGCAATGCCAGTGTAGTTGTTGGACTAAATGAAAGCAGGCTGATTCTGTCATAATTATGATGACGGAGGGTGCAGTGTGTAAGATTAAAGTTAGTGGTTGATCTGGGTATTGCAGTCCCAATTCTAAATATTGGAGAGGGTTTTTATACCCTGCCCCTCTTCTGATGAGATGCACACACAGGTTGCCAGATTGATGGCACAAACAGCAGCGAGTATGCCTGATGATCAAGGGTCACACTGTAATATGTAATCAGCTAATGTTTACATTATTAATAATTCTATCATTTGCTAAATAAACCACCTCATGTGTATTTTAGTGTCATGTGTGAGGCTTCTGCTGTCCTCCAGACCTCACATTTTCAGCTGCATTTGCATACATTGAGGAGCCTACATATGACTGAAATAAAATGCACTGTTTTCCACCATCTGGCAACCCGGGGTGCTGAAATATGATTGGGTAACCTGGCAGTGGGCGGAGTTACAGATCAAAACAAAGACAGACATTCTAACAAACACCACAGTTAGGATCAAAACCTGAAAGGGTCAGATTCAGAGAGCTGGAGAACATTATCTGTGTGATATTCTCAGCTCAAACACACACACACACACACACACACACTAGAGACAGCAGAGATGCATTTACAGCTTATAAAGAGGGGCAGAATGGGTCTCCTTTAATAAACAGTTAACTGATGCTCTGTGCTGTGTGTAATATTCACTCTGTCTCTCTCTCTCTCTCTCTCTCTCTCT